TTATATATATATTACATATGTATACATATATATACACATATATATGTATTTATGTATCTTATACATATATCCATATACATATAAAGAAAAGGAAGAACATTACAGCATGACATGAAGTTGGCAAGTTTGAGATTCTTCCTCCTGAATCCCCTGACTTATTAGCCTGTACTTCAGGGTATATGAGAACAGTTTGAAAGGGGCGGGCAGGGAAGGGAGAGAAAAAAAGGCACTTAAAAAAGAGAAAGGCCTGACTTGAGCATGTGTTAGAGGAGCAATATAAGCATTTTACCAGAGCTAAGAAATGATTTACAGAGAGTTAAACTTTTCCCCTTAGGTTTTATAAAATAAAATTGCATAACATGTTTGTAACCAGTCATTTACCTACTACTGCATTTTTCTTCTGCCTCATTATTACAAAAATAAAAGCCCCCCAAAGCAAAAAAAACAAACAAACACAATCATACATGCACAACATAAAGTAAAAGTGCCCCATCTGAGGACGGAACTACAGTGCTGAAGCACAGGGAACTTTTTGAGTTTGGCCTGATTATAGGTTTTATCACTCTTCTTCTAATTTAAAACAAAACACAACAAAACAAGCAAACTCAAATTCAAAGCCTAAGTGAAGATAAAAATACAGGGACAGTATTCTTTATGGTACACTCCTGAAATAAAGTATCCTAATCCTATACATGGGTCAAATGATAAGACAAAACCTTCTAGAAATAAAGAACTGTAAATCAGGTTAAAGTCGATCAATACAGGCAAAGTTCATTCTACAAATGTAGCAGCAAACATGATAGAGAACTGGAGTTCTAAGAGGTGATCCCAAGGGACATAGAGTTCTCACAATCAATGGCAGTTTGAAAAACAGTAGAATTTCCATTTCAGAAAATGTCTTGAACCAAGTAGATCTGGAAAGGGGTGTGGTAGAGGGCAACCAGAGAAGCAAGACTAGAGGTGTCTGCCCTTTCCAACCCTGGGTAGTAAACAATTTAGATCTGCTTTGGGAGAAAAAAAAATTCTGGGTTAAAATTCTTATTCATTAAGTTGTTTTCAAACAGGTGTCAAACCCACAGTATTTAAACATGTATGTGCCCCGATCTTCCTCCTACCTTGGCAATACAATAACCCTATTCAACTTCTATGATATAAAATGTTATTTGGGCTAACAACATCCATCAAAGGGGGAGTAGGCATGAAAGAATGTACTAATACACCATCAGGACTTTGTAACTTCCGATTAACCTCACTTCTTTTCCCAAAACCTTTTCTTCAGGCTGTTTTAAAACCATGATTTCTCTTACCCTTCAATTTCAGAAGCACAGGAGAAAGAATTATAATCGACTTGTAATGGAATTATTGCTTGCATTGACTTTGGAGGCTCTGAATGAGCTTAACACTTTGCTCCCAAACAGTCTCCAACAGGGGCTCAGCACTGCTATCTCTGAAGACAACTCTGCCGACCATTATTGCTTGTGAATACTGAGGATTAATTTGTATGTACAGTAATAGCTTATACATTAGTGAAGGCAATTTAAAATATAAGACAATTGAAAACAAACAGCTTAATTTTCCTGATTTAAGAATCCCACTGAATGGGATGTAATTAAGTGTGCTGATTATTTTTGCATTGGGATATTATTAACGCTCTTCAGAAATACACACTGCTCTATATCCTTTTTAATAACTTACCATTTTAAAAAATAAATGCAAAAATATACTATGAGTCACAAGTCTCTGTCCTAAAAATAACCAATTTATATGTTTGTTTTTAAGTAAGAAAACTGTAAAGATAGCTGACCATAAATATGGACATCATTTTTAACGTTATGATCTAGAAAAGAAATAGTTTTGTATTTACATGTAGAAATTCGCTGATCATACTTATCTATTAAGAAATATAAGGATGTTTGTTTCACTTGTTTAACATAAAAAAAGGGTACTCTTGACTGAAATGGATATATGTTAGTGAAAATGGGGGGGAGGGAGGAGGGGTGGAGGAGGTTGGGTCTGGCAGCAGTTCCCAAGATACCAAGACTGAAGAGAACAGAACATAATCTCCATATATGTGGACTTCTCAGAGCCAAGGGCCTTCAGATTACTTTTTTTAAAAAATATATATTTTATTGATTTTTTACAGAGAGGAAGGGAGAAGGATAGAGAGTTAGAAACATTGATGAGAGAGAAACATTGATAAGCTGCCTCCTGCACACCCCCTACTGGGGATGTGCCTGCAACCGAGGTACATGCCCTTGACCCGAATCGAACCTGGGACCCTTCAGTCTGCAGGCTGATGCTCTATCCAATGAGCCAAACCGGTCAGGGCCTGATGCTTGTTTAAGATATCTTATCACACAGGTGGAAAGTGGTCACCACAGTTTTTATTTCAGAGAAGAACAGGCTAAGGTGTATCACAAAATTGCAATAGTGATGATCAGACCCTTATTTGAAAGATATTAGTGATAAAGTCTGAAAAACAAGGATTTGGAGAAGGGAGTAGAAGAGATAGAAACCTCAATGATGTGAGAAAATCATTGATTGGTTGTCTCCTGCACTCCTGCACTACTGGGGATCGTGACCTGACCAGGAATCAAACCAGGACCTCTTGGTTCATGGGTTGACGCTCAACCACTAAGCAATACCAGCAGAAAGACACTGATGGTTTAGAATTTAGATGTGTAGGTGGTCAAAAAATCATCAACCATTTTTTAGTGACTTGTCATATCATTTAAGTTTCGAAAGTCTTTCCTGCAGAAGTTTGAGTATTTTTTAATTTTTTTATACCATTTTAAAATATATTTTATTGATTTTTTACAGAGAGGAAGGGAGAAGGACAGAGAGTTAGAAACATTGATGAGAGAGAAACATTGATAAGCTGCCTCCTGCACACCCCCTACTGGGGATGTGCCTGCAACCGAGGTACATGCCCTTGACCCGAATCGAACCTGGGACCCTTCAGTCTGCAGGCTGATGCTCTATCCAATGAGCCAAACCGGTCAGGGCCTTCAGATTACTTTTAATGGTTAGTTATAAAATGATACTGGGGGAAGAACTGATAAACCTCTTTTTCTCCAATGACAGCAGAATCACCAGGGAATCCTCACAAGGTATAATTCAGAACTGATGATGGAGTTATTAAGAAATTAAAATTATTATTTCTTGACTTAAAATAGAAATGAAGTTATATATGAATAAATATATGCACACACACACACACACACACACACACACACAAATAAGTACATGCACAATTATCAGCAGAAAGAGATTAACATGCACTCTGTCTTCTCTCCTGGTATGGGAAGTAAAACAAAGGCTAGCTTCCCAAAGGAAAACTCCTACATAGCGTTAGCAAAGACTTCTACCCGCCCCCCAAATTAGATAAAACTTAGATAAAAGAGGTATGCTACATTGGAATAACTCAATTGGGAAAGCTTGCCTAATTAAAAAAACAAATTGTAATCAAACATACTCAATTCAAGTCAAACCTCTTTGCAACATCCCAATATCCTCCCAAAATATCTACCAGGGCTGATGCAATATTCAGATTTGTTTTACTGGTAATCTAAATTCTGAGATGCAAGTAATTATATCAATGATTCCTTTGAAATAATCTTTTGCTCTTACTGTAACAAGTTTTTGGAACTGAAGTTTTCAGTTACTTATTAACTTTTTGCTGTGAAGCCAGCCAATGTGACTTTGAATTCAAATATAGGTTTACAGATCTGAACAGATCTGCAGTAATTTATTCACAGTCCTACCGGCTATTTGGAACTTTTTCTTATAAAAGGAGAAAAAGGGCCTGGTTAATACTCTTATTTGAATAAACCTAACAGTATAGGGTGATGTGTGATGAAAACATACACAAGCAATGTTGCGTCTATCAATCTGATGTGGCTCTTTTGGTTAGTCTATCATTAAAAATGGACCAAGCTTACACCATTCTTGGGTACACTTTGAAACATTTAGAAGCCTAAACAGGAAGGAAAAAAAAGAGAGAAAGAAAAGAAAGGCTAGAATGATGAGGTGTAAAAAAAAAAAAAAAAAAAAAAAGGATCCAAACAAAGCCATAAATTTCTCCCTTAATGTCCTTTGTTGAATGTTATTTGCATAAGGACACCATGATAACTACAGAGTCTTACTATCTGCAGATTTACTCACATGTCAATATTCTGAGTCAATATTAGGAAATGATCCAAATCAATTTCACTACACTGGATATAGGGAGTAAAAATACACTGTGATTTTTATAAAAAATAATCCCTTGTACACACATGATTCGAATGTAATTTCTCCCTTTAAAATACTATCTTGAAAAATTCCAAAAATATATATATATATGCTATTTGAATGACCAATGTAGAAGCATGTGTAGTACACACTTATAGCTGTTTATATCAATATTTAATAGTCACCTGAAGTACCACTTAGCTAACAGAACAGAAGTTGCGAACTGAGGTGAAGTTGGGAGAAATTAGTTCATAGTGTAGACCTGCAAGGGCTAAGAGCATCAAAGCCAAAGCCCTACAGCCAAGATCCCCATTTCTCAAGAGAAAAATGTGAACAGTCACATTTTAACATCAAGAATGGAAATAAGAATTAATGTCAATACCAGATGCACAAATCACCTGAAGAAGAGAGTTAAGTACCTGCTTCTGAAAGGAAGATGAAATTGACCCTTTTATAAAAAGGGGACATCTAAGTTTCGTCTGTTAAGAGCAACAGGCTCAATTTCGTGACTTTTAAAAATCTCGATGATTTAATAATACATATCACTGTGCTAAAATAACTTTCCTGAAGCATCTCTAGTCCACTGATTCACATGGGGAGTTGCTACACACTGGGGAAGATTCAAGTTTGTTCAGGATTTTTGAGGGTATAGTATTTTCTATGGTCTGTATCAGACATAAAGTCATTATTTTTTTTGTATGGCATATTTGCTCCACAGTCCGTCCACTCAAATAGACATGATCCTTACTCCTGACAAACTGACCTAATTCCAGATATATTGCCTTTTATTATGCAATTATGACTATACATGTTCAGATCCAACCCCCAGGATGGATGGAGTTTACCCAAATCCTCAATTTTCCTTCTTCCTCCCTCAGGGGGAAAAAACAAATTTGTACTTCTGTGGGTTTGACAACTGAGTCTCTTTTAATTCAGTTAATATGGTAACTTTGTCTTTCTTTAGAAGAGACCAAAAGTCACTAACTTTGCATGAAAGCATTTCTTCCTCCTGCACCTGGCTTTACATCAAGTAATGTTTTCTTTCCTTTTTCCTCCTCACCACAGTGCTTGGGACGAGAGAATGTAAACATCGACAGAACAGCAGCCCTATGACCACATGAGTACTTTCCCATCAGGTAGATTCCATCAGCCAGCTGAGTGTCTCATCTCCTTTGCTTGTTGGGAAGTCACTGAGATTTCCGTGGCAATTTAGTGTCCCCTTTACTTTGGCCTCCATCTAAGAAAAGAGATGTTTAATTGGTATGGGAAGGCATGGTATTAAAAATAGATTTAAGAAGCAAAGCAAAAAGAATAATTAACTTTTAATTTTTATATGGATTATATTGCTAAAGAGATAACCTTTAACATAAAACATGCTATATATAGCATTATAGAGGTTGAAAAAACATATAGGAGATAAAAACTCAACAAGAATGATTCTCTTATCCCAAATGACTGTGGTTTAGTAGGTTTTCAGCATCCTACAAATACTATTTCAACAAATATTTATTCCTAGAGGCCTGGTGCAGGGATTTGTGCACATTGAAAGGAAATTACTTAGAAGGTGGCTGGCGGGGCAGGACTGGGCGAGACGGCCAGACACACCCTGGAGTCAACCTCCTGCGGTCCCTCCCCAGCTGGCCGCACCTAGGCTGGCGCCAGGCTTAAAGGATGTCTGCAGAGTGAGCAGGGTCCTTACAACAGGTGGGGTCCCTTGGCCTGGCCTGGAGGGATTGGGGCAAAATAGGCTCTCTGACATCCCCCAAGGGGTCCTGGATTGTGAGAGGGCTGTTCTCAGGTGATGCACCCTGAAATCAGGCTTCCTCCCCTCTGGTTCCAGGTGCATCACCCGAGAACTGCAGCTGCCAAGTCACCACAGCTCCTATGTTGAGCATCTGCCCCCTGGTGGTTATTGTGTCACAGCTACCGGTCGGACAGGACAGTTAAATGGTCGGGTGGTCAGTTAGGCTTTTATATATATACTAGAGGTAGAGGCCCAGTGCATGAAATTTTTGCAAGAGTAGGCCTTCCTTCCTCTGGCTGCCAGCACCGGCTTCCCTCCGGCCACTAGCAAGCACCCAGGACCCAGGCTTCCTTCTGGCCGCTGGCAGGCACCCAGGACCCAGGCTTCCCTCGTAGCCCCAGCTTCCTCCAGAAGGTCATCCAGAAGGGCATCCGGAAGG